TCTAAGGTGTTTTGTTTTTTTTTGGCTTTTGTTAAATTCAGTAGCACTCTCAATAATATCTTTTTTATAGATTGGGTTTGAAAAAATTGTCTCTGTCAGGTCTAAAATTGCTGAACTTCTTAAATCGAGTCCCTTCTGTTTCCAGTCAATTGTTTTCTGGACTCATTCTTTTCTCATAGTCTATTGCCAATGTTACCAAAAAATCTACATCATATACCAAATTGCATTAGAAAGCTGATACTGTGATTTATTTGCAGCGCCACTTGACATGTTAGTAGGCTTCACATCTCTTTGAATCCAGTCATTTCTGTGTGCCAATACCACCCTCACTGTTCTTTTCTAGATGTGTTTCTTAGATTTGCTGCGTCTTTGTTTGCTTGCCTCTTTTATCATTGTGATGAGAATAATGGTGATGATAATGACAAAAACAGAAGCCCTTAAATCTCAATGCTTTAATATAAGTCCAGTGTGAGTAAGCAGATATTCTCTGTTCATTGCCATCTCTTGGCCCAGGTAGTTAGAAATACTACCTGGACACACACAGGCTTCACTGTCACTGCAGAAACAGGAAGAAAACATAAAAGGGGATATTCTTTCTTATGAAAGCTTCTGCCAATAGAAAATACAGAATGCTTTTGTTAACATTTTATTAACACATCCCATGACTGTGTCCAACTTCATGTGAGTGAGGAAGCACAATACTAAGATGTAGCTCACAGAAGGGAACCCAAAATATTTAGTGACCAGCACTAATAACCACAACACTACATGTAGCTGAAGGATATTATGAAATATCTTTTTTTTCTTTCTTCCTTTTCTTTGGTTCAAGGTACCGGGCAAGAACATTGAATTTAGAAGATCACTAGATGCTTCATTAAATTAGTAGATGTCTTCATGCTAATAAAGGTAAAGAAACATGTTTAGAAAACATAAGTGTTGGGTTAAGTTTTGCACAACTGTGTTTGATTGTTCAGGTGAAATGGAGAGTGAACCAACCCTATACAACTGTTAGTAACTGATAAGAAACATAGTTATACTGAGTTAGCTTCACAAAATGAAAGAGTGCCTTACCTCTGGGGCAGCCTGACACTATGGAATACTTTGCGCAGGCTGAACCGCTACAAAGGTTGGGTGGAACTTATTCTTTTATAAGCTAAGGGAAGATGACACAGCAACTTTGGGGTAATTGATGAGGGTTTTTTTTTTGTTTGTTTTATTTATTTATTTTTTTTACATATTGTTCGCTCTGTTGGAATGCATTAGTTCTTTCTCTGTTCAGATGGGACTGTGTAGGGTTGGCCCACTAGCTAGATTTATTCTCCTTACTTCCACCTGGAAACTTGCAGTTAGGGAGCACTGAGATTTAGCAAATAAAAGTGCTCAATTGCGCATCCTGTCACAATGCATAGTCTAAAATGAGGATGCTGAGACAGATCTATAACTATGGCTATTACCTGGCTACCATTTTTTGGCCATGTCTGTAACTGAGATATTAGTAATTATGCAATCTTGAATATAATATTAAATCATCTCCTGACTCTGTGTCCCCATATTTAAGATGGTATGATCAATTACATCTACTTTGTAGAGTTTTTACGAAGATATTGATAACATACTAGTTGTATCAATTGTTGTACTAACTTTAACACTTATAATTGATTTCAGTAGTAATACTAACATTGTTGTTTTTTGTTGACTTGCAGATTCATGAGGGAAATTCTCATACAAAGATGGAAGGAGAAATTAATATCATCACTCAAATTATTTCACCACCTCCATTTACAAATAAGTACAAACTGTACCAAGAATCAGCAATCTTGGGAGGATCACTTTGCTTGTGCAGACTGCTGGAATTTACCTTTCCCCTCCTGGTAGGGTGCTGGTATTCATTTACTTTGGCCCAAATTCCAACATAAATATTTAGTATATAGGAGGGTTTTCTGAAAATGGTGACTGGTCATTATAATATGAAAGAAATTTTTGGAAAGCATTTTAGGTCTGGATAAAGTTGGTTATAGTTATCTGCCTGGAATGGTTTAAGTTCAAGCTTTAAGAAACAAAGTGAGTGGATATCTGTCAGAGCCCAGCAGCAGATGGTACATCTGATTCAAAACATTCCATGAGTTTAAAATTGTCACACTCTTATTTATCAGGGAAGCAAGGTAAACTAGTGGTTTGAAGCATGGCAGCTGTGTGAGGCTACCTCAGCTCACCTGACGACCTTATCAGTCACTAGCTGTGTGACCGTGGGCACATTACTTCTGCTCCTGCATTTTTCCATCTGTACCATTGAGCATCATATCACCTGCCTCATAGGGTTGTTGTAAGAATTAAATACCATTAAGCATGTATAATACTTAGAATAATACCTGACATAATTTAAAAACTATTCACTACTTTTAAAAGGATGACACCCCAAATAGAATATACTTTATGTGCCTACATATTTACTTTCTATATGTAGACTGTGAACAGCTTGGTATTGGCTAAAAGTGCCATTTAGCACTGTTACAAAATAATATCAACAATAATAATAGTAATAATGATAACTAGCAATGACTGAATACATGCCACATCCCAAGAATTTTTAAGGTGATGCATAGACATTATCTCATTGATTCTTGGTTTACTCTTGAGAAAACTGAGGTTTAGTTCATTTAAGACTTTTGTTTAGATGGGAAAGCATAGGGCTTGGGTCTGTATGGTTGCAAATTCAATGATCTCAACCAAAAGTCTATATTTATTCCGTGACATACTCTACTGCTTCTTTTGAATTCTCAGCCCCCTATAGCATCTCATACTTATTGAGTACTCCTTAAATGTTTGTAGAATTAAATGGGCTCTTAGTTTTGGGGAATGGTGATTAAATATGATTGCTTAAGATTAAATTACCTGGGTACACTGAGTGTATTTCAAAGAGTTCTTCATCTACTTGCCTCTCATTCTGTATTTCTTTTATTGTTTTCTGAAATTTAATTCTGATTCTGTCTGTTCTTTCCTTAAAATCCTCCATAGCTTTCCATTTGTTATAAGATAAAAGCCAATCTCTTAGGTTTTAGTGTTATTTTTTTCATCGTCTCTTTCCCACTCTTTTAGCTTCACAATGAAGCTGGTTGAGAAGAATAATGGTAACATGCATTCAATGTCAGCCCTGCTTTTATCTTCTTAAATAAACAGACTCATTTAACTCTAAAATACCTAGTATGGAACCCAGAGGCTAGATGCTAACATTATTTCTGTTTCACAGGTGGGACAGCTAAGGCACAGAGATATGGGTTAATTTAAAGGAGGTCACATAAACAGTAAATGGTAAAGTGAAGATCTAAACTCAGGGAATCTGGCTTCAGAGCCTGCAAACAGGATATTAGGTAACACTGTACAGTGTGGGATAGGAGCATATACAAATAAACCAATTTTTAATCTAGAAGCCAGATAACTTGGCTGATGAAGTGTATTCAAAGAAGAATCTGTCATGAGTAGGCATTCATCAGTCATTTGCTAGAGAGAACCACATTTGTGAAGACCTTGGAGGAAGAGAACAGAGAGAGATACAGAAGACAAGAAGAGAGAGTGAGAGAGAGAGAGAGTGCACACACATCTTTTTAGAGAGTTTGCAACCCAACTTAAGAATAATGAAGGGTTTTTAAACAGAGAAGCAAGTGACATGTTGTGATTTGCAATGTTGGTAGCAATTCACCATGGCTGGAGAGAAGCTACAAGGAGAGAAATCTTGGAGGCAGCAAGATCAACTAGAAATGTGTGAAAGAAGGTGTCCACTGTGAGATGGATAGTGCCCTGGTCTTCAGTGGTGACAGTGGAGATAAAAAATAGTGCAGATGAATAAATAATGATATTTACAAAGCAGTCTGACAAGACTGAATGTGGTCAGGAAGATTTTAGAATTCAAGATAATTATATGATATGGTTTGGCTATGTCCCCACCCAAATCTCATCCTGAAGTATATTTCCCATAATCCCCGCATGTCATGGGAGGGACCCAGTGGGAGGTAATTTAATTATGGGGCAGTTACTCTCATGACGCTTATGCTGTTCTCATGATTGTGGGTGAGTTCTCACAAGATCTGATGGTTTTATAAAGGGCTTCCCCCTTCACACAGCTCTCATTCTTCTCCTTCCTGCCACCATGTGAAGAAGGCTGTGTCTCCTTCTTCTTCTGCCATGATTGTAAGTTTTCTGAGGGCTCCCAAGTCCTCTGGAACTGTGAGTCAATTTAAACTCTTTCTTATATAAATTATCCCATCTGAGTATGTCCTTATAGCAGCAGGAGAATGGACTAATATATTATATTTGTTGGTTTTTACTTGGGCAACTATTTATTGAAAGGGTGATCAAGTTGACGTGGGAGGTAGAAAATATGATGTGCAATAAATGCAGTTTTTGACAAGTTTAATTTGAAGAACTCTTAAAATGTCCATATGAAGAAATCTAACAAGAATTTGTTCAGCATTCTCCCTCTCTCTATGACAACAGGTTTCTTGTCTAATTCAGTCTATACTCAGATGCTAGAATTGGAGTGATTTCAGTCCAGTAGGCCACAAGTACGTCAGTGGCTTTTACCAGTGAAGGCTTTTGTTACGTTCATGTGCATATTTGATTCAATGTGGGTGAGTGGGTCTCTGCTGTCTGCTTCCACAGTAGTACTTCAAATAATGGAAGCTCCTTCAAAACACAATTGTTCATGACCACTAAACTTTAGCTGGTGAAAACTAACTCAAACGTGATCTATTATTATTTACACCTCAAAGTGACACAATATTTCATTTACCAAAGCAGGTCACATGGCCACACCTAATTTTGACAGGCAGGAAAGAGGGATCTTCGTTTAATATTATTTACTTGCTTAGTATTAATGATAATCATCAGTAAACAGTCTTAGTTGGTAGTGAGATATATAAGTTGAATTAGTAAATATGAATACATTTACATTGATATCTGGAATTCAGAAGGCCAATCTGAGGTAGGGAGACTTTCGAAATGACGGAAACATCACACCTCTGATATTCACTCTGCTCATCCTGCATCACCAACCCCGTCCCAGATTTAGCTCATGTGACCAGCTTTAGTGTCCAGTACCTTTATAGCCTTATATTTAACTGACCTTATTATGTTTAATTATATGCTTTCCTATATAATTTTGCTATGTGACTATAAGATCTGTGAAAGCAATGTCCTTTTTCAGGCATTAATATATCCCAAGTCTTTGAAATAACAGCTAACTCAAGGCATCAAATTCCCATTTCTTTCTTTTCCTTTTTTTTGAGACAGGATTTTTTGCTGTCACCTAGGCTGGAGAGCAGTGCAACAATCATAGCTAACTACAGCCTCAACCTACTGGGCTCAAGGGATTCCCCTGCTTCAGCCTCCTGAGTAAGTCAGACTATAGGGGTGTGCCACCATGCCTGGCTAATTTTTGTAGAGATGGGATCTTGCTATGTTTCCCAGACTGGTCTCAGACTCCTAACTTTCATCAATCCTCCCATCTTGGCCTCCAAAATTGCTGGGACTACAGGAATGAGCCATTGTGCCTAGCTTAATACCTATTTTTTTTTGTAATTTTGAGGTATTTTTTCATTCTCCCTAATATTTCTCTCTTGACCAAAATGTGTACATACACAGAGAAAATACATGCTCATGTAAACAATACTCTAACAATCTCCCTGGGCCGTCAAAATCGTCTGCTAAATTCATATTGCATGTAAGTGAAAATCGCTGTGATAGTTCACAAGGGAGTATTGTGTACTCATTTTTATTTGATGAAATCACCTGAATCATATTTCTCTGTATATTTCCAACACTTCAGCCTCTATAATCTCCCAGCCGCCCCTTCACCTCTTATGCCTTCCAGACACGGCTTCCTTCCTGACATTCCTTATGTTTATGCTCCACTGAGACAGAAAGACACAAATCCATATCCAGCAGAAAGCACATATATGGGACCAAAGAAACATTTCAGTTAAACAGATTGAGCATTACAGGGCCCAGAACTTATAAATGCATCTGTTCAACTGGGCTTTTTGTTGAATTAAAATTTGGTGAAGCTAAGTCAGCAAAATATAATGATGTCAACACTTTCAGAGGGACGGGGAAACTGCATTGCCAAACAGAAGCCTTCATTAGGTGGCTTTTATTGAAGGGTTTATTTCTGGCTTTATGAACAAAAACATGTATATATCATATAGTTATATGTAGTATCATTAACAATATTTCGATGTTGATCAGTCAAACTTGTCAATAGCAACTATTGCCTCATAATAATAGGTACCACTTAATCAATTGCTTACTATGCATTAGACACTGTGCTGTTTTAAAATAGAGCCTTTGCTGGGCGCGGTGGCTCACGTCTGTAATCCCAGCACTTTGGGAGGCTGAGGCGGGTGGATCACGAGGTCAAGAGATCAAGACCATCCTGGTCAACATAGTGAAACCCCATCTCTACTAAAAATACAAAAAATCAGCTGGGCATGGTGGTACGTGCCTGTAATCCCAGCTACTCAGGAGGCTGAGGCAGGAGAATTGCCTGAACCCAGGAGGCGGAGGTTGCGGTGAGCCCAGATCGCGCCATTGCACTCCAGCCTGGGCAACAAGAGCGAAACTCCGTCTCAAAAAGATAAATAAATAAAAATAAAATAAAATAGAGCCTTTATTCCTGGACTTTTCTATTTTCCATGTGGATGAATTTCTACTCCAGTAACACTCCTGGCTTCCCATAGCAACTCTTATTCTAAGCCTTTCTCATAGCAGACAAGTGAGTCATCAACTGCTGGGTGACAGACATTGGTCTATGTTACCCAATTTGGTAGAGATAATTTATTACAACTTAGGAATAGCTAGGAATTCAGTCTCTTCCCTCCCTCTCCATCCAGTGATTCTGCAGGGCATTGATTATGGATCACTTGTCTGAGGCATTCACTTGCCCTCCTGATGATATCCCAAGGCCTGAGGAGTATAGCAATGAGCTTTAGCCAGTCCATGTAGCCTCCCATTAAACTAAATTGCATTGTTTGACAACTTTAAAAGTAATAAATGTAATATTTGATTTCAAACTGACTGGCTCCTGGATCTATTTCTGCCTGTGTCAGATTTAAGACAGATCTTACACTATATATGTTTGTGTGCTATATAAATATAGGCATATATAGGCATAGATATGTTATACATTATACATACAACATATTATATGTACAATATATTCTATATATGCATACTATATAGACACACATACATTTATATACACACCTTAAATTTATTATAGGTAATCAAATTATAGATATGTTACATATACATCATATATAGGTAATATCATTAATATATATTATCATCACACATAATAGTAACCTTAAGAGGTATATATTATAAGCCTTTTACAAAGAGCCCTGCATAAGCTAAGAGACCCAACGGATCTTATTTACAATTGTGCAGCCGTTTAGCTAATGATTAAGCTAAGGTTCATCCTAAATTAAAACTTAGGCTTGTAACAAAAAAAAAAAAAATCACTTCTTAAAAATTATTTGGCAGCTTTGAGAATCCTGGCTGAACTGTTTATGGATATAGGGAGCTAATTTAAATCTGACTTTGTTTCATATTGTCTATATGTTTTGAGAACCATGAGAACTTAGACATATGTTATGCAAATAAAAAGAAAAATAAGAAAACTGTGTAGGTCCTCTGTAATGAAAGTGCATAATGTTTATACAATAGTGAAAGGTATAGTTTAATAGAATACAGAGTTTTAGAAGACTGCAGACAGAGTAATTCCCAAGAAAGTGGCAGAGTGAAAGAGTAGAAACTAAGGCTGGAGCTTGACTATGGAAACTTTTGAATTTCATGCAAAGAATTTTGGACATCATATTTCCTTGTCAGTAGGAATAATAACAAAACAAATGCCATTTGTTGAACATTATCCGTCGAGTACTGTGCTAGGCTTCTTATACGTTATCTCTATTTTTTTCAATGAACACTGAAATACAGTTGTGATTATTGGTGGGGAAACTGAGAATCAGAGGGATTCAGAACTCCTCTAGGAATTACAGAAGATCTGACATGAGAGCAATCATATCTTACTTTCAGAAAATGAGGTAGCTTGATGGAAAATGAGACATTTGAGGTCAACCTTGAACAACTGGAAGTATTTGAATATACAAATATGAGAAGACATAATTCCAGGCAAAGGGAACAACCTAAAAGAAACATGGAAATAGAGAATTAATGAGGCACCTAAGAGTTTGGAGAGGGCAGCAACCTAATATGTAACCCTGAAATTTATTTGTAAAGTGAACTGCAAGATGAAAACTACTCAAACATATGCTTCTGAGTCTATATGCATTTCTTTTTTCCATCTTGCTGTATAGGCTCCACAGGGGAATTTAAACAAGATTTTCTATTACTGAATTGGATGAACATCTTTAAAAACAGCTGTATCTTTATGAAAAGACAACATAATATTAATTATTTGCTGATCTTAGAGACTCATGTAAAATGTATAGGCTGATTTTTAATTTTCTTTATGTAGGTGGCATGCTGTGGTGGGGGTGGCGGTGTGGAAGGGGAGGAAGTTTGTAGCAAAATCAGTTAAGTCACGCAGACCCATGCATGGAATGACCTTGCTTCCGTGCCAAACTTCAGGCGGAACAGTAATGAGAAGGTAGCAGAACTAATCAATTTGGAACAGGGCCCATTCCTTCTATCAGTTCGGGCCACTTAGAATGCAGGCAGTGTCCTGAGATTTTCCTCAAATTTGCCCTTTGAACACAAACACAATGCCTTCTCTTACATAACTCAACAGAAAATGTAGATTTGTCACCTAAAATAGAAGCAAAACTTGTGTTCATGCTAACACAGCTATTTTTTTATGATTATCCTTTTTCTTCTTTAACTCTCCCTTTTTTCAGACATCATGGAAGATTTAGTGCATTGTATTACACCTAACTCCATGTCTTTGATGACCTCCAGAAACCAAGAGTACTTCCAGTATCCTTCTTATAGAATACTTGCATGTTCTCTCTGAGTAAGTACCAAGTTTCCCTGATCTTCATTGTACTCATCTATGAAATGGAGACAAAAAAGCTTTTATGCAGATTGAAAAAGAAAATGTATATAAAGCACCTACCAAGATGATTTATGACTGTGTTTTAACCCTTCTCCCAGATATATCTGCATTGAAACATAGCTTTAGCACTAACTTGCTAATCTTAGGCAGGTTTCTTCATCTTTCTGAGCCTTGCTTTTTGTCCTTTACAAAATAAGAATTATTGTATCAATCTTGTGAAATTGCTGTGTAGATTAACAGATTTGATATTTATGGCATAAATATTTAGTCAGTTGTTACTCAGCTCCATAATTTCTGCAGATCTTTTGAAAGTACATATGACTTGTACACAGTAGTGGGATATTAAGGAATGAAAAACAAATTTGATAATTCCAAATTAAAAGCAAAGATCTGAAGTCTGGAGTTTCTTTTAGGATGTGCTGCTTCATCTCTCTTGTAGATGAATATACATTTTCATTTACATGAGTGCTTTTGTCATTGGCTCCACTGACAAAAGCCCAGTAGAACCTTCCCCTCTAGAGCCACCTGAATCAGAGGTTTAAGGGGTTGGAAATCTCTTCTATTTAGATGGTATCAAGCATCTTTGCTCAATGGTTCTGTTCAGTCCTGCCCAGACAGCTGTAGCAAAAATTTTAATTGTTCCCAATATCGACTAACAAAATGCATTAGATTACAAATAGAGAAGCTTCTCTGCCTAGGGACTTTCTTCTTATTATTTTTTATTTCATCTTTTTTTTTTTTTTTTTTTTTTTTTT